TATATATATATATATATATATATATATATACATAAAAAAAATATTTTTCAACCCCTTTTAAAAAGAAACAAGAGCTTTTTCTGGAAGACTAAAATATTGTCTCATTATGGTAATGGCAACACGAATACATCAGTAAGAATCAGCGAAAGTGCGCGACACTTGCAATTTCCTCATACATTGAAAAATAAAATACATTATAAACGACATAAAATTTAAAACTCGTTATATGTGACATCCCCAAAGCGATTTAATTAATAAAATATCAATTTAATTAATATTAATTTGACATGTATATGATCTCTTTGTCCACCACTCTACCTGATTAATATTCGTTAAAATCCTTTAGTTTGTATTGATAGTATATCTATTAGTTAAAGCCAATAAAATTAATAAAAATATCGTGGTCTATCTTGCTCGGTAAACGATAGTAATGAGATTTCAACAAGGGCATTTAGATTGCTTTAAGAAACAACAACAAAGAATTTTCAAAACATAATTGCTCCACGACTAATTAATATTGCACAGAGCCTAGAATAATACATGAGCTTCGTTTTAAACAAATTCAAACATCTCACGAGCACTTTGTTAAATTATTAATAACAATATAATAAATCTACTTTGATTTTAATTAAAGACGGCGAACATTTTAAAAAGAATATGCAAATGTATCTCTCTCGCGAGAGTTATTAGAACTTTTATAGAAAGCTCTCATCAAGTTGCAGACCGAGCTTTGGAGGAAAGGGGATGTTTTCTTTAGCATTATTGGACGCCAAGATTTTATACTCGAGAAATTCTCAAAGTTCAAATCTACTTAACAAGAATATATAAGTATATAATAGCTTCTATATGATGAGTTTAATAATAAAATATGTATATAAGTTTAATAATATTTTATGCATAGCTATTACTAATACCGTATTAGTACAAATAATACGAAAATTTTATTATATTTTAATTTTTTAATCATAACTAAATATAATTATAAAGTATTCACAATGCTCTAGAAATATTTGAATTTATTGCGAATGATGTTTTATTCTGGTAATTTTTGAATAATAATATTCAGTATGACAATGTTTTAAAACTTTTTTGTCTATGTAAAATAAATAATTTTAGAGTTTCTTTAATAGTTATAATACAGATGATTTGAGTGTAAATTAAAATACAATGATACAAAAAGTAAAATATATCTGGTGTGGAAGATTCTACAAATTTATAATTCATAGGACATATTTTAATTACAGCACAACATTTAGCTAATATATTTTTGGTGTGATTAATCCAAATTGCCTTTTGAGAACCATGTATCCTTTAAAAAGAAGGATGTCCTGAGCGTCTCGGCTTCATCGGTAATGAGCTTCGCTCGAAAGAAATCGCTCATTAAAATGAGAGCGCTTATATTACTCTCATGAATATACACGATGTTTATTTGACGAACAAACGGTCGGGGACGCTTGAAAGATAGGCAAAGGATTTGACAGATTTACGGGTAACTTTTATTCCTTTGAGAACACCTTTACAAAATTCTCAGAATATAAACAAAAGAACTGTTGTCTTTTTCATTTGATTCTGATTACAATTTAATATCAACATGATGCCTTTCTTGTGCTTTGAGTTTAATAATAATGACGCTTTGTTTAAATTCAGCTTAATATTATATAATATGGATCTTAAAAAAACAGCACGTAGTGCATAAAGTAACCATAGATAAAAGATATGCCCAGAATTTTTGCACTACCATGGTATTCAATCTAAAAAATAATATTTTTACAAAGTTTGTACTATCGTTATTAAAATATAATAATATTGAAAAATATTGGATTGTTAAAAATATGCTATTTATAAAGAAAGCCAAAGCTTTGTAAATACCAAATATTTGCACTTTTGCCAATAATAACAACTATGTTTAATCTTTAATTAAAACATAAGTTAATGAAATATATATATATATATATATATATATATATATATAAGTCATAATGAGCCTTAATAATTTTCTTGTACAAATCAAATTATTTATAGGGCTATTTTATGATAACTAAAAAGGAGAACCCGCGCGTTGCTCGTCTCGGATTTTGATGAAACTTGGCACAATGGTAGATTTGAAGCCCAAACTGACTGTGGTAAAAAGTCAGTTTGGGCATCAAATCTACCATTGTGCCAAGTTTCATCAAAATCCGAGACGAGCAACGCGCGGGTTCTCCTTTTAAGGCAAGGCCTCGGCTTACCAGCCACAAGGTTTCTTGTTTAAATTCTGCTTTGCGTAATTGCTTCTGCTAATTTTTTATGAAAAAAAGACGAAATTACATAATACCATACACATATCGTTGTCGTACATATTTAATATATTTGCCCATTTATATATTTTAATATATATGCATACAACGCAATAAATAAAATAAATAAAATAAATACAATAAATAAAAGTACCTGCAACATTATATAATATATAAATGTATAGCTAAAATAGATGAATGGTATTGCCATATCCCTATATCATGGATTATTGTTTTCATTGATTTTAATATCAGGATAAACAAATCGTAAGTACTTTTACTTTTTTACTTAAAATTTTATACATTTTTTGTTCCATATTTTAGTTTACTAGCGAATACTAGTTATAGCCACGACGGATAAATTTTATTAGAAAACATTTGTAAAGAAATGCTTGTTTTTTTATTGATGTTCTGCCCTATTTTTAGACTCGGTAAACAAATATAACATCATATTCAGAATTTAGCATTTCGTCAAATTTATGTATAATTGCAAATAATTATTTTGTCAAATTTACCATTTAGATTCTAAATTCTAAATTTTAGAATATTCTGAAGACTGAGTATAGTTTTGTAAACTATATGAAAGAATAACGTAAGCTGTGTATACTCCAACAAAATTGTTAATAAAGTCATACCTCGCAGTATATATAATACATAAAGATATGTGTATTTATTTAAATCTCTTTGTATACAAATAAGTTACAGCATCTCCCTGATTTATGTGCAGAGGGCACGGAAACACATTTTTAATAATATATTATTCATGGACTGTAAGTCGCTGTAGGTACGTCGGGAAATTCTTATCCATTTATTGATCAGATCCTGTATATAAAGTTATGTATGAGAAATATAGGTACGTATAAAAAGCTTTAAAATACATCCCTTTATGCCAAGGAAGAAATATTGTGTCCCTCAATTTGAATATTATAAATATTAGTCATTCGTATTATCGCAAACGCAATAAATGTTAAGAATCTTATAATGACCACAGTTTGATTTGATACTGTTGTATATGTATATATATATATATATATATATATATATATATATATATTTAAAAACCGTCATCTTCAGTAAAAAATATATTTTCATTTTTATAGCTTTCAATTTTCATTCTTAATTTTTGAAGAATCATACATACTTTAGGGATTTGCCGTTTAGACTTATTTTTCGAAAATATGCATTCTCTATTAAAACAATTTTATCAGAAAGACGTATATATATATATATATATATATATATATATATTTATATATATATTTATATATGTACACTATTTTGGCTACTTAAAATTATTATCACTGAAATATGTTGCATTCTTTTAATAAATAATTGAGGCAATGTTTAAAATATACCAAATATCATAACGGTGTATATATGGCATCTATATGTATATATTTATATACAAAATCTCTGTTCATGCAAATAAGGAATCCGTCGAAAAGAAACCAGTTTACAATACAGTTATAGAAATCCATTGTAATGTTAAACGCCGAAAAGTGAACTGTAAATACTATTATAAACAATTAGCATGTATAAATTTATTTTAAAATAAGAAATACAATCAGTATATATCGTGTATTTAATCAAGCATCTGTGAAAATAACAATTTAGTTGTAAGTTTTAGCAATAATATTATCGACGTGATTAAGATCATGATCACTTAATCAATTTTGTTGCAAATCATCGATACCTCTAATCCTAAAGTATTTCATATCATTTACGCAAATGAATTGATTAAACATTTTTTATCGGATAAAATTAATTATCACAAATATTTTCATCAATTAATTCATGATCATGGGATTAAAATCGTAAATCTGTTCCCATTTGCTTATTTGTGACGTGGGTATATATAAATAGGGTTATAGAATTATAAACATAGTTCGATTATAAATGTAAAACTGAAGAGTAAAACTTGCTAATAAAATATAATATGAACAAAATTAATTTCATAATGACAATTTTATAATTCAAGTAAATAATGTAAAACATTATTTTTAGGTTTTTTTTTATTTGAGATTTTGAGATTATATATATATATATATATATATATATATATATATATTTTATTAACTCTTTTATTTACAACTATCCAGTAAAGGACATTTAGTAAATTTATTGAATATATATATATAGTAAGTTTCGTTGTCAGTATATATATTAATTGCATTACTAATAATTCATTAATTATGTAGTTAATTTTATTTTTTCTAATAGTTGTTACTGAAAATATCTAGTTTTGTATACCTTCTAAATTGCTTAACAACTCAATAATGAAAAATATTTGGTCCAACGGTGTAGAAAAATTAGAACTTACTTAAAGAAATTTCAAATTTGATTTTTATTATTTAAGTTATATTATTTAAGTTTTTACTATTTAGTTGTATATAGAAAACAGTTTTTCATAGCTCTTATAAATAAAATTTATATTAAATTTATATTTAATTCGATGTTTTCACATTTTGTATATTTTTTGTATATTTTCTAAATATGTACTATAAAGCCCTGGTTAAAGCAACCAATTCATATCACTAAAAATGTACTTATCATACACTTGTGTATAATATATATTACATATATGTGTACACGTATATATATAACAATTTCTACATATTTTTATAGAAAATTCCGGGTATAAATAGCGGTAATCATTGTTTGAGAGCAGGATACAGCAACATCAGTTCGCAGACGTCTATTATTTGCATAGACATTGTATAAACAATGTTGAAGAATTTCATTTTGTTAATATTTTCACTGCATTGTGTATCTTCCAGAACCATAAATTACGAGTCGGATGATAAAGGTAAATATTTATGCTGAATTTATATATTAAATTCCAAAATAATATTTGCTCTACCTATATTATTTTGTAAATTAAATTAGTAGTATTCAATAATCTTATATTATATCTTATATTATGTAACAACATAATATATATATATATATATATATATATATATATTTAACTATTACATATTATATATAACTATATATATATATATATATATATATATATATATATATATATATAACTTAGTTACAAGTTACTATTATTTGCAAAGTATTCAGCAAACACGAGCTACTTAGGCAATTGATAAATTTACATATGCATGATTTTTTATAATTTTTTTCCAGCTTCAGCCGGATGCGAAGTTGCAATAACTGGGGGTCTAGGAGACCCTCAACCTTTGTTCATTATCCCTGGGACCAACAAATTCTTAGAACCTAAAGATGACTCTGGCATTTTACGTCTGGAATACAATCAAAAAGTAGAGCTAGCATGCGCTGGAAGTGAATTTAGCACTTCAAAAATGCCTTGGTTTTGGTGGCTGACTGGGGCCGTATATGTTGAAACTATGATGGCTACTTGTATTGAGGTAATTAGATTTAATATATATCGAGTTTTATAAAAAAATCCTACGAAATTAATCATAATAATTGTAAACATTCGTATATTTGTACTAGGTACATGCTACTATATAATTTTTTGAGGTCAAAGAATCAGAAATCCTTGAATAAAATGGCAGAACTTCTAAATATGTGTAAAAAATTTAATTTTTTTTAAAAATGACGTTTAGCCACTGAAATTTTCTTGACATATATTTCTCGGAATCTAATCAGTGCGATTCCCGACTTGTTTCTTTCAAACGGCTATTAATTTTTTAAGTGGGATCAATATTTGGCAGAAACACGATTAATAAAATATTTACGCTATTTAAATAATTATGTTATCATGAGCTTGCACAATAATTAATACATTTAACGTTTCTTGAAATTTGTCATAATTTGCATAAAGATCTCCCTTAATATTCCCAAATTTTCTGCTCAATTCCATTACCCTACATTTCAATCAAATAATCATCACCACTCGCCCTTCTTTTTTCTTTCTTTTATCATTTTTCGTACCCAGGGAGTTTTAATAAATGTATATTAATTAAAATTTTCAGGGCAGCTCTTTCGAATTGCCTTGGGGCAAGTCGAATATCAGCACAGCCCGTTGTGTTTCGAACCCGTATCACGAAGCCAAACCCACGGGTTGCAGATGCGGTAGAAGAGAAAGCCGATCCGAAATCTATGAAATAGGCTTTCAATTATCGTCCGGAAGAGTTTTAAAATTGTTCGACCTATGTCATGACAGGGATATGGCAGAGACTCTATATAGTCATCATAAAATGACACCTGCCAATGCGGGATATCAGCATTCTGTGCCTAGGCCAAACTTTATTCAAGGAAAGCACTATGATTTTTCAGTTGATAACGCTTATAAGTGAGTATTGTTACCAAAAAAATATTCTAATCAATAAGCGATAATTGTGTAATCGATATGCAAAAATCCAGTTAAGAGATCGTGAATAGAATAGAATTGAAAAAAATTAATTGAGTAATTCACTCAATTTTGTAAATTACCTAAAACAATGTAATCAATTTAATGGTAATTACTCAAGATAAGACATTCTGATGGATTTAGTAATTCTACTTCAATAAATGCCGCTTTCCAGTAAGTACTCATTCAGTTAACACTCTTGAGTTTTTTCTCAGTTATCAACTGCTTTCAAAAATGATAATTGATAGTGATTAAGTACA